GTATACATATACAACTTTGGTTCTATCTTTAATTTGCTTTCTACTTAGCTAATGGTAATAATGTACAACATTTATATAGAGCCCTATATAATTTGTAAAATTACTCTAAAGCTCTTTACAACAAATGGATAATAGTAATAGTTATAATTGTGAAACATACATTTAAGCAAGCAATGTGCACATAATTGAACAAATAAAGGATGGTATTTACATGACGTCTTTGCAGAGACCCTAAAATGCAGACGTGAAGAGGTGAGTTTTGATGTCCCTCTTGAATTTGGCCAGGGTATTTGACTTTCTAATAGCAGATGGTAAGCTATTACACAACGTGGCCGAAACCCTCCCAAAGCACCGGTTTCCATAGGTTTCCATAGGTCACAGTACGAGATTTTGGGACACACAACAATGATTCTGACTCCGACCGCAGTGATCGTGACGGCTGATACAGGGTACCGACCTTGAGCTGGAGAGCCACTGTTTGCCGACACTTTGGGGAAAAGACGATTAGTTCCGTCTTTTCCTGATTAAGCTTTACCATGTTGGCGTTCACCCAGATACTGATATCTGTCAGACAAGCTTCCAGATTTTCTGAAACTGTATCCCAACTGTCTTGTGGTTTGATGACCATGTAAATTTGTGTGTCATCAGTATAGCAATGATAGTGAAGACTATGGCGACGACAAATCTCTCCGATCGGTTTGGAGTACAGGCAATACTTTTCGTGGCCCTAACACCTACCCCTGAGGAACCCCGAAATCTAGTACTTTGTCATGTGAGGTTGTTGATCCTATGGCAACCTACTGTCGTCATTTACTCAGGTAAGACTGTATCCAGCATAATGCAGTATCAGTCAATCCATTAGAGTATTCCAGACGTTTATAAAGTATGCCATGGTCGATGACGACAAATGCAGCTGACACGTCCAGCATGACAAGCACCGCTCTGCACTTGTTATTCAATGCAGAAGCTATGCAATTATGTACACGTAGGAGGGCGTCCCATGCGGTAGGCCGATTGCATGTTGTCATGGAGACTGTTTAATTGGAGATGAACCTCTAAATGCTGTGACACAGCCTTCTCCAAGATCTTAGACAGGAAAAGCAGATTTGAAACTGGGCGGTAGTTTTTCAACTCCTCCTTGTTCATTCCAGGCTTCTTCAACAACGGTCTAACATGTGCCTTCTTGAAATACAGTGAACCTTTGACTCAGACAATGATTTGTTCATGATTGAGGTTATCAAAGGAAGCAGTACTTCAAGACATTGCTTTAATAGGTCTGTAGGCAGTGGATCAAGCTCGCAGGACTTCGATTGCGAGGTCATGATGATATTGCGCAACTCATCCTGGGTTGTTGGCGAGAGCTTTGCCAATGGTTCCCCATCAAATTCAATATCAGCAGTCATGACAGAGATATCATTGTCAGCAGAAGAGTTCACTTTGGCAATTTTTTTCCTGATTGAGCTGATTTTATTCAGAAAGTAATCGCTGAACTTGTTTGATAAGTCTTTTTCAGAATTACAGCTTGGTAGGATAAGTTCACCTTTCTGGCCCATTAGGATTTTGGTGAGTTTAAAAAGCTGTCTATGATCCTTACCACATTCTTCGATTCTTTCGGATTAATAAGCCTTCATTGACTGAGTGAGAAGTGAACCAATTAACCGACATTGTTCCTTATAAATCTGTCGTCGAACAGTTGATTTGGTCTTTCACTACTGTCTTTGACTGAATGAAAAGTGAACCAACTAGCCAACATTGTTCCCTATTATAAATCTGTTGGTAAACGGTTAATTTGTTCCGTCGCCACATTCTCTCTGCTTTTCTTCGGTTCTGTTTTTCGGACATTTTCATTATACCACGGGGCATTTGGTCCCACAGTTATCACCTTAGTTTGCAGAGGTGCGTCTCTATAAGGGCTTCTATACCAGATCTGTATGCTTCAACAAGATCATAAACCCCGCCTTCAGTAGATTGAAGGGCGGAAGAAGACTGGATGTCAATGTTGAAATCTGGTATTGAACTTTTGCGGAATTTCCAGAAGCTCACCTCTTTCCTTGCACGATCTGGCTTACTACAATTCAGTGTTGTGTGGACAGCAAGATGATCACCAGATTGGTTCCTTTTTACATCACTTAGACATGGATCAATCACTGAAATAACTCCATCAATGACTGAGTTATCTTCCCTCGTTATGTCCACATCCAGTGTAGGGCCATGGGTGTGTGTAGCTTCTGCACCTACTGAATCAGACCCCTGTAATCTAGTAGTCCACAGGACTGGTAGCATCAACATTAGATAGATTGTCTAAGTGGTAATTAGGTCTCCCGTTATAATAATCTCTTGTGGTACAACAACTTGGTGGTCTAAAAAGGTAGACCATTCATCAAAAAACACTGTACACATTTTTTGTATTTCGGAAAGCATTCTGTTTAGATGGTGGAGGCCTGTAAATGATACACAATCTAAATTGTTTATCACCAGCAATGACAGAACAAGTCATGTGCTCAAAGTGTGTGTATACATCATCATGGCTGGAAGAGAGATGTCTCACACTTAGGCCTTTCTTAAACAGAACAGCCACCCCACCACCACATTTGCCGAGTCTAGCTTTGTGGTGGAATTCATAGCCTGTTGGTATTAGCTCAGCTAGGACCTGGTCATCGATATCTGAACCTAACCAGGTTTCTGTCAATGAAAGAATGTCAATGTCCTGAGATGTTACAAAATCCCAGATGAACAATGACTTATTCTTCACAGAGCGACAGTTTAAGGACACTGAATTCTGAGGAATAACTGACTATCAGTCACCAGCTGTTGTTGGCTTGATGACGTACGCTACTGATGATGTCGGAAACCATGTGGAAGTATCGTTACGAGAATGCACAATGATGTTCGATGCCTGATACTTCTGTAAGTGCAGTATGACACTGCAAGAAAGTGTGCGAGGCGGACAGACCATTTGTAGTGACCAAATGGATGAGATTATCAGTGTTCAGGCCGGAGTGGGTACAACCACTGGTTCCGTTTGATTTAACACCGATAACACTTGGTATTCGCCTAACAGCACCCTTTCCTACCCGTGTCCCAAGTTCTTTTCCGAATTTGATAGTACCTAGTGGATAGTCTTAATAGTGAATCAGATCTGATTGTCCTGGTTCAGTAAACCAACCTGTTCTCCTGATTTAAGTTTGTTCATATTTGGCGGTATGTAGCACTTTATTACCATTACATCTGAAATTGATAATTTATACAAGACATATGGGGTGTTTGCCAGCCTGTCTGTATTCTAGTATGAGATTATTTTTTTCTCTTGGTTGTACCAAGCTGAAGGAACTATAGATATTTTCTGTAGGTTGTAAGCTGACAGATTCGTTCACATTATTAGCTTACCTGGTTCAAAGGGTCTCATGATCTAATGTTGTGGCATAACGTCCATCATTTGTCAGTCTGGCTATTGTTTTTTTCCTTTTAAAACACTTCTAGCCCAGAACAGATAAATGACGAAACTGTTATATTTTTTTCCTAGGTTGTCAGATGACAAAACCGCCTTCTGGGAGCTGGAACTGTACTGGGGTTTGGTTCAACATCACCCATATATCCTCTGGATCCTTATGTCATCTTGATTGTGGTGACCTCAACGGTAACGGGAATGTCGTGGTGTGTAATAATACACACCTGTCCCGTTTATATGCAAACTTACAACACCCATTCTGCTATCCACGTAAGTGTCCATGCAATGTGACGTCATGCCCATGTTAATTAGGTTGTCTTGCGTGGCTTTCCATCATTGGAAAACTCTATCTTACAAGTGCGGTACGAAAATGTTTCCCTGACATGGCAGAGCCAGGGGTATTAGTCAGCCAATTGGCTCACAGTTCTAGTTAGAGCAGGCTTCTATATTACATGTAAAACAGTATTTAGCTTTTACCAAATGTTGTCTGTAGGACTTATTTCATCGTGAAGTATGAACAGCTAAGGACAGATTGATGAAAATTTAAGCAAACCATTTATGATCATTTGGTCTGTCAGTGACGTCTTTAATGACCTTCAACTGAAACCTAATGTAAATTCACAGATCAAAGTCCAGGTGATGTTTGGGCAATAGACCTTCTCACTGAAGTACACAATTCCACTTTGCGGTAAAATTTTCTATAATATGTATTTATTGGCAGTATGTTGTCCATTGTACAAATGATTTATAGGTTATAATTCAATTATTATTGATAAGAACATTTTTTATTTTGTTTTATGATTGATTTATTTTTTCAGAAACGACAGATGTCAAAGAAACCAGATGTAAGTCGTTTTATATAAAATTATTCAAGTAATCTTCATGTATTTAATTGTGTACTTCATCCTGTTGTAAGCATCTTGGATAACACTTATTTTCTTTTACTTCATAGTAAAATGTAATATTCTTATTCACTTGTTCAATGGAATAGAACCCAATGATATATCTCTGATACTGCAGGAGTTCTTGTATTGAACACATTATAGATGTTTCTGGCTCCGAGTTGTCATATTGCTCGCTGTTCTTGGTTGTGTGTGTGTACACCATAACTGGCAGTGTGTTAATTGGATTTTAGCTCACCTGGTTTAAAGGACTGATGAGCTCATGTCGTGGTGCAGCTTCCATTGCCCGTTGTCCGTCTATCCATCAACTTTTCCTTTAAAACACTACTTGTCCTGAACATTGCATTGAATTTTGACTAAAGGAGGAGTGCCAATTTGGGCCTTCTGGTGGCTATATACATACCTTGGGGTTATACCATCATGATATGACATGAAATTAAGGTCAGGTTGGAGACCATTCCGAGATATGAGGGGGTAAAGTGGGGGTTGACGAAGTAAGCGAGGGGACAGGGGAAATATTTTCTGTATCCCCTTTTTTAACACTTTTATTCATAAGTACAGCATTTTTAGCCCAAAAGTCACACTTTAATTTAGACATGCATCCCACTTTCAGATATATCAAAATGTAGGCATTTACATACATTTGGTTTTATATTGGACACATATCTTGGAAAGTCAGATGTACCAATAAACATAGTTATTACATATGAATAAAAGGGTTAAAAAGAATGCCCCCCCCCCTCCTCTCTATTCTTTTCGAACCCCAATTCTTGAGGTTTGGTTAAGATACTTATTAATAATACAATTTGGTAAGATTAGTGTATGGTTCTTATATGTATTTAGGCACAAAAAAGGAAGAATTGTTGACATAATTAAGCCAATATATAATAAGGTCACAGTGACCTACTACTCTTTTTGGCCAGTTTTAATATTTGCAGCCTTAGTGTTATGCAATACACCAAAATAATGAAGAAACCTTAAAGAAATAATATGTTGTATCATCAAAAAGAGACCATTTGTGATTTTGGTCCCCCACTTTACCCCCTCATATCTCGAGATGGTCTCCAAGCTGACCTTACTTTCATGTCATATCATGATGGTATAACCCCAAGGTATGTATATAGCCACCAGAAGGCCCAAATTGGCACTCCTCCTTCGGCATTAGGATATATTCACCTAGATTAACCAGATTTGGTGTACAAAGAAACCTTGGGATGGCACGGTGCAAGAATTAGGTCCCTATGACCTAAGACTTGACCTTTGACCTTGTCCGGGGCATATCTTCTATACTTTTTCACCTTGAGTAACCAGATTTGGTGTACAAGGACATCTTGGGATGGCAGAGTGCAGAATGCAAGAATAAGGTCACTGTGGCCTTTGACTTGACCTACAAACTTAACTATTGAAAAAGTTTGTCCGGGGCATATCTTCTGTACTATTTTACCCAGAGTTACCAGATTTGGCGTAAAAGGACATCTTGGGGTGGCAGAGTGCAGAGTGCAAAAATTAGGTCACTATGACCTATGACTCGACCTTTGAACTTAACTTTTGAAAAAGTTTGTCCGGGGCATATCTTATGTACTATTTTACCCAGAGTTACCAGATTTGGTGTACAAGGACATTTTGGGACATGCTTCCTGACATACCAGTGGGGGACTATAGAAATCATTACCGGTGGGGGACTATGAATTGCCTTGCAATACTCTGCCTTGTTTAATTATCCAGGTGAGCAATACAGGCCCTCTGGGCCTGTTATTTACATTTGTGTATCCACTTTCATGTGCCGTTTATAATTACTTCATGTATAAGAAGGGGAAAAAACAAGCAAAAATTGCACTTTTACAGAGACCTTATAATTAGCTTGTCTTAAAAGGTTCATTTTTAAAGTTCAAAATTTAAAGGAAACCTGGTGAAATAATTTTTTTTATCTATCTTTAAAGATGAAAACTGAACTTCATTTATGTTACAAATTTGGATTAAATTCAATATATATAAGTTGGTGTCAGAAGCTTAGTTTCAAAGGCTTAATTGATTGTGAATGAATTTTTCCCCTACAGTTGATCCAAGTGTGACTGTAGCTGTTGTCGTGATAACACTGATGGTGCTGGTATTGGTATATACATGGTATCGTGAGTATGTGACAGCACTTCTACATTGTGTCTTTTTAAGATTAACATGTAGAGGATGGAAATTTTACTGTTTTACCTTGACAGAAACAGATTGTATAGCCCAGAATCTTGTATCCACTTTAACTTACTTTAGATAATATATTGCTGCACTTTGAAGTGTAAATTACAAGCAAATGATGAAGACAAACTTTTGTATTAGAGATGTTATTCTTAAAACATGATACTTTTACTTTAAAAGGTTTATCACGTACAACCAATGAGAGGAATGGAAGTTCGCTTCCCTCAGGTATGTCATCTTTGTTATGTAATTTTCCAAGACCTTGTCTGAAATGTCAAGGTCATAGTTAAAGGTCATAACATCTGAATTACTAAACTAATGGTGAATTATTAACCACTGGGGCAGTATTATGTGACCGTTCGGAATGCTGTGCATGGTGACTTCGGCATGGCATTTCAGTGAGATAGCACTATAAAGTTGGCATTAGATCCGCGCTATCACAAGCACACCAACATACCCTGTCTCCTGCATACACACACGCAAACACGCATACACTACACACATGGAGGCACGTCCTTTAATGACCTTAGCTGTTAAAAGGATGTTAAACAAAATTAAACCAAACCATTCTTTTACAAAAAAACATAATTTCTTCTATTGATTTACTGCATAGAAATGAAACTAAATGATTTTTAGCTCACCTGGTCCAAATAAAGGCATCTGTCTGTCAACAATATCTTCAAACAACTTCTTCTTCATAACTGCTGCTTGAAATTCAACCAAATTTATCTAGAAGTATCTGTAGGTGGTGGGGATTCAAGCTTGTACAAATGGAGGGGCTGACCCTCAAGGGGGTTGAGGGGCAGGGCTAAAAAGTGTTTTAAATTGGAAATGATGAAGTTCTCCACTCGATAACAATTATATAAAATTGCTGAGTAAAGATCTACCCATATTTTACCAGAATGGCCCCAGCCTGTGGATACTATTAGTCACTTGGTCATAACTTTTAAATGGTTGAGATCCCCACCCCATATTCATTTATACAATTGCTAGGCACAGAGCGGCAGATACAACAATGATATTAAAAATTGACCCTGGAATCTTATTTCCTACTACTTTCATTGAGAATCTTTTATCGTGATTGATTATATATCCTGGTGACGATACAGGCCATCTGGGCCTCTTGTGTGTCATTTATATGTATTTTCCAACAGTGGACACAATTTCACAGATGCTTTTATAAGAATAATTTCCTTAAAATCAAGGTGACAATTTGTTGTCAAATGACTTTAGTTGTTTGATAGTCTTTAAGGAGATAATGATAACAGGATTGAAAGTGAGGAGGATATTAAGGCTCTGTCTTACGCTTCTTTTAGAATCATCACAGTCCAGCAGTGTAGTAATGATACCACTTAATTCAGATTCAAGTGTACATGATCCTGCAGCAAGTTCCATTGTGCATGGTTTAGCACAAGTGCAGCCAGGTTCCAGTGAGCATGATTTAGCACAAGTGCAGCAAGGTTCCATTGTGCAGGATTTAGCACAAGTGCAGCCAGGTTCCAGTGAGCATGATTTAGTACAAGTGCAGCCAGGTTCCAGTGAGCATGATTTAGCACAAGTGCAGCCAGGTTCCAGTGAGCAGGATTTAGCACAAGTGCAGCCAGGTTCCATTGTGCAGGATTTAGCACAAGTGCAGCCAGGTTCCAGTGAGCATGATTTAGCACAAGTGCACCCAGGTTCCATTGAGCATGATTTAGCACAAGTGCCGCCAGGTTCCAGTGAGCATGATTTAGCACAAGTGCAGCCAGGTTCCATTGTGCTTTATTCTGAACCAGTGCCGCCAAGTGCAAGAATGCTGCCTTCAGCAGCTGGCGGGATGTCTTTATCATTAGGATCTGATTTTGGCAATGGTAAGTTTAGAACAACATTTATTTTCAAAACAAGATACCTTGTAGTCAGAGTAATGGAAACGTTCAGAGCAAGCCTTTGAATATTAAATCAACTGCATATGTAAACACAAAAGGTAGGTTGTTGCTATCAAGAAAGGGAAAGTCTAAAATTGGTGATAGTATATGGTCATGACATCAAGTTCAGGATTTCAATATTTTTATCGATTTTATCAGGGAGATGCAAGGGCCACCCTCTCCTATGTGCTAAAGAAAGATAAGCTTGCTCTGTTAATCAGTTAGGGAGACAAGATCATTAAATCTTTGTCTCTATGATACAATTTGATATATATATATATATATATTTTACTATATCAACGTGGAACAAAAACAATCTGTTTTAGTCAAGAATTTCAACAGTTAATACATTAATAACTAACACTAGATTATATGAAACAATATGATTAATTTAGGGAAATCTTATATTTCATTTTTATATCATTTGATTAACCAAATCCAATCAGATACCTTGTAGACTGTTATCAGTTCATTTGTCCGGGGGGGGGGGGGCATGTTAGCTCTTCATGTATTGTAACATGCTGTTGTCCGTAGTCAAATTTTCCTTTAAGAGTGTACTAGCCAGTCCAGAAGCTTAACAAATTATGACTGAATTTATGACTTAAAAAAGACACTAAATCATTTGTCTGGACCATATAGCTTTTAACTGTGTAGCATTGTTTGATGAAACTTCATGCAGTAGATTTGTGTTTTATGACAGATTAAATAGCTACCTGTAAATTTCTGGACTTAAACTTTTGAACTGATGAATTGCTGAAACGTTAAAAGTATGAAGACCTGCAGGTAATGTTGGGTATCATACAAATCAATAAACCCAAGGTCAATGTTACATGAACTTTCATAAGTGCAAAGTGTTACATATCACCTAACCCTCAAGGACCAAATTGTAGTAGAATAGCCTTGTGATGTCCTGCTCACTTTGTTGTTTATTCTCTTTGAAGACAGTGCACTGGACGGTTTGTTGACTAGTGGAGGAAGAGTTAGCCTTGACGAAGCTGCTGATAGACTATAGATCTTCCTTTACACTCCCCTGTACATTGGGATCCTCATGAGGCATCAGTGGGACTCTGTCACAAAGGTTGCTGTGCATTAACAGATAGCCTTTTACCACAGGAGGAAGAAAACAGTCGGGAGTAAAAGGGCGACAAGTACTAGAAAACTTTACTACAATCTGTTCCTATTTTACAAGTGGTCAAATATTTTGTGACCTACACCTCAGGGGCATCAACCAGGATGAGGCCTAAGGTGATGTTATTTGTCCAGTAGCATGCAGGGATGAAAGGTTGTCAAGTGTGTTAAAATGAATGACATTCAGTCATATTTAATGACAAAAATTTGTTCAAAATTTCAAAAAACTTCTTCTGAAAAGCCAAAAAGCCTAGGGAGATCATGGTATTCAGCCAGTTTTTTGCTGGGAAAAGGTCTATTAATTTCGTTCTTATGAATTACCTTAACCCATATTCAAGGGTCCTGGAAGGTCAAATGCATTGAAAACAATTTAATAACTTCTACTAAAAGTCCTAGTGTGGTGATCTTTGGCCAGTAGTGTCCTGAAATAAAATACTATTAATTTTGTTCAAATGAAAGACCTTTACCCGTATTCAAGGTCACAATAAACAAGAGACCCACAGTAGTGAAATTTAGCAATTACATGTTACATGTTAGGAAAAAGGGCTATGAAGTCTGTGGAAATTAATGTCCTTGACTAATCTTCAAGGTCACAGGTCAAAAGAAAATCTTTAAATGACTATTTCTGAATATCAAAGAAATGACAACATAAAGGGTTATATCATTTGTTCCAATGAATGACCTTGACCCGTTTCCATAGTGACAGTATGTTGAGATTGTTCAGCCTCTTGTTATCAATCAGGAAGCCTAGGGTGATTGTATTTGGGCAGTGGCATGCTATGATAATGGGCTATCTAGCTAGTTTATTCAATTGAATGATCTTGACCCAGTTTCAATGTCATTTGTTGACATTTTTAAAAACATTTTATTGACTTCTGAATGATAAAAGAGGCTTGCTGAAGTACATGAAAATTGGCAATGTAGGTTAATTGTTTACATTAATATGATGGGTTAGTTTTTAGTGACCAAGAATTAGACCATTCACTGCATTGGATTAACTAAAGCTGGCTCTAATTAATAATGACTTAATGGGATCCAAGGTAGATTGTTAGGTATTTATTTGACTCTCCTACAGATCAATTGTGGCATACTAATTATCAATATATTTTGATGGTGAAATTTGAGTAAGTGTGTAGCACATGTTTATATAGCTTCAAAACTGTCACTTACTACTAATGATATCAATAGTACAGTACATCATACATCTAACATCTCAACAGGGATTGAAATAATTGATATCGTCAATCTCAAGGTTCCAATACAATAAGCAGTTACAAACAGTGTGATGACTTCAATACATCTCTGCACAACATCAGTCCCTTTTTTAAGTATAAATTTTAAATAAAATGTACTTAGATAGACATTGTAAATGCAACATGTAATGAGTATATAGTTGACGTAGAAATTAACAAAAAGCCTATTTGGAAAAAAGCTCAGAAAAAACTAGGGTATGTCAGTGATATATACCAGACACTGGGTAATTAGAAATTATAAAACAATCACTATGTCATATGGCCATGTCATAAATATGGTATTACACATGTGTAATAAAACCTAAAGGTGCTGTGATTGGTCAAAACGGTGGGAAAATATTCCTATTCCACTACAAATGTGTGAACTTTATTAACTGATTTTTAGCTCACTTTAAACAACTTCTTCTGAAGAAAGAACGGCCTAGAGTTGTAATATGTGGCTGAAAGCTTTGTTGGTAGGAGCCTGACAAATTTGAGATTTAAAATGACATTGACCTACTTTCAAGGTCACAGGGGTCAAATATGTCAAACACTTCAAACGACTTCTTCTGAAGAACTGAAAGGTATAGAATCTTCATATTTGGCTGGTAGCTTCCTTGGTAGAGCCTGACAAAGTTTGAGAATGAAAATGACATTAACCTTCTTTCAAGATCACAGGAGTCAAATATGTCAATCGCTTCAAGCGACTTCTTGAAGAACTGTAAGGTATAGAATCTTCAAATTTGGCTGCAAGCTTACTGGGGAAAAGCCAGACAAAGTTTGCGAATGAAAATTACCTTGACCTTCTTTCAAAGGACTCGGGAGTCAAATTTGTCAAACACTTCAAACAACTTCTCCTGAAGAACTGAAATGTATAGAATCTTCAAATTTGGCTGGTAGCTTCCTAGGAAAGAGCCAGACAAAGTTTGCAAATGAAAATGACCTTGACCTTCTTTCAAGGTCACAGGAGTCAAATATGTCAATCACTTCAAACGACTTCTTCTGAAGAACTGAAAGGTATAGAATCTTTAAATTTGACCGGTAGCTTCCTGGGAAATAGCCTGACAAAAATTGCGAATGACTGGTAGCTTCCTGGGAAATAGCCTGCGAATGACAATGACCTTGACCTACTTTCAAGGTCATATTGGTCAAATATGTCAAACACATCAAAAAAACTTCTTATGAATAAAGTACAGGCCTAAAGTCATGAAATTTAGCTGAAAGCTTCATTCGTAAGAGCCTGACAAAGTTTGCGAACAAAAATGACTTTGACCTACTTTCAAGGTCACAGGGGTCAAATAGGTCTCAACCTTCAAACGAATTCTTCTGAAGCTCTGAAAGCCCTAGAGTCATGATATTTGGCCAGTAGCATCCTATGATGGAGCTTGACAAAGTTTGCAAATGAAAATGAGCTTGACCTACTTTCAAGGTCACAGGGGTCAAATCCTTCAACGACTTTTTCTGAAGACCTGAAAAGCCTAGGGTCATGCTATTTGGCCAATACCATCCTATGATGGCATACAACAAAGTTTGCCAATGAAAATGAGCTTGACCTACTTTTAAGGTCACAGGGGTCAAATATGTTAAAAACTTCAAACAACAATATCCTAAGAACCATTTGGACTAGTTATGATACTTGGGTATGTTATGAAGCCCAGCAGTGCAAATCGTTTTCTTAATTACAGTAATGAGGTCAAAGGTCAACTTTAAACGCTAGTGGGGTCAAAGGTCAACATGGGTTAAAAGCTTTAACAAACTTCTTTTCAAGTTCCATAAGGCCCAGTGTCATGATATTTGGCCAATAGGTACCTGGGATGGAATGCACTTCATTAAAATGACCTTGACCTACTTTCAATGTCTCAGGGGTCAAATATGCTAAAACCTTCAAACAACAATATCTTAAGAACCATTTAGTTTAGAGTCATGATACTTCGGTAAGTTATGTAGACCAGCTGTGTGAATCGTTTTCATTATAACAGTAATGAGGTCAAAGGTCAACTGTAAGTGCTAACCGGAGTCCAAGGTCAACATGGGTTAAAAGCTTTAATATTAAAATTTCAAATTACAAACAACAATATCTTAAGAACCGTTTAAGAGATGTTAAAATGTCTTGTGTTTTAGTTCCCAAATTTGGTCTGAAGTTACCTATATGTCAGTTCCATGTAACAAAAGAAACAGGTGAGCAAACAGGCCCTCTGCGCCTCTTAAGTCTGAAGCATCACTAGGGAAGGGCAATCATTTCTTAAAAAAAGGAGGTTGGTTCGACCCCTGAGGCCAGGGGGCGGGGCCCTGAAGGGGAACTTGGCTAAATTTGCTTTAAAACGCATCTCCTGCTAAACTCCAGAGAGGATTTCAACCAAATTTAGTCTGAAGCATCACTAGGGGAGGGCAATCATTTCTTAAATAAATGAGGTTGGTTCGGCCCCTGAGGCCAAGAGGGCGGGGCCCTGAAGGGGAACTTAGCTAAATTTGCTTTAAAACGCATCTCCTCCTAAACGCCAGAGAAGATTTCAACCAAATTTGCTTGGAAACTTCATTGGGGGAGGGCAATCATTTCCTAAATAAATGAGACTGGTTTGACCCCTGGGGCTAGGAAGACCCAAGAGGAAAATTATCTAATATTTTGCTTTAAGACGCTAATATCCCCTAATTGCCTGAGTGGATTGTACAAAATTTGGTCAAAAACATTATTGAGGAAGAACAAACATTTCTTAATTGAATGAGGTTGATTTTCCCCCTGCGGTCCTAAGAAATGGTACAGCTAGATTATCATATTCTGTGGTGTAGTTTTCATAAATTTTTAAAAATTGGTTTCTAGATTTATAAAAGCTTATAGTTGAATGAAAATTAAAGTATTGTCTAATTACACCCTGTAATATGACATATTACTTATTTCAAAATCTGATAACATAGCAACTCAATGGAGGCCTCTGATTAGTTGAAAGTCAGATATTGTGCTCCCAGTTGGGTTAGAACATAGATCTTGTCTGGTTTTGAGGAATTTCATATAAAGATGTACTAATGCATTCAGTTGTAATGACTTGAATATAAAACCAGGTGAGGGATACAGGTCCAATGGACCTCTTGTTATTGTTTGCTATCTTAGCATGTATGTATATTAGGCACAGGCCATTTAATTGATGAAATACCTTTGCATGAAACTTTATGTATTCTGTGATACTCTTTACTAAGATAACTGTGATATAACTCTATGCAAGATAATTAGGGCCCCGTATCGGAGATACGGGTGCCCTATAGTAATCACTCTGTCTGTCTGTCCGTCCGTCCACAAATTTTGTTCCTGGCTGATAACTTTGGTATTTATTGACCGATGTACATGAAACTTGGTCAAGATGTTCAGTTTACAAAAATACACATTGAGGTAAAAAATCAAGGTCAAAGGTCAAGGTCATTAGGTTCAAAGGTCAAGGTCAAATTTTACAACTTTTCACTAGTGAACATTTCCCCATGACATTATGAAGCAAAGTTGATCAGAATTAAACAAGGAGTCAACTGACCAAAGGTCAAGGTCATCGGGTCAGGGGTCAAGGTCAAATTTTGTAGCTTTTCACTAGTGAACATTTCGCCATGACATTATGAAGCAAAGTTGTTTGGAATTAAACAAAGAGACACACCGAGGTAAAAAGTCGAGGTCAAAGGTCAAGGTCATTAGATTCAAAGGTCAAGGTCAAATTTGCATCTTTTCACTGATGAACATTTTGTTATGACATTATGAAGCAAAGTTGATCAGAATTAAACAAGGAGTCAACTGACCAAAGGTCAAGGTCATCGGGTCAGGGGTCAAGGTCAAATTTTGTAGCTTTTCACTAGTGAACATTTCGCTATGACATTATGAAGCAAAGTTGTTTGGAATTAAACAAAGAGACACACCGAGGTAAAAAGTCGAGGTCAAAGGTCAAGGTCATTAGATTCAAAGGTCAAGGTCAAATTTGCATCTTTTCACTGATGAACATTTTGTTATGACATTATGAAGCAAAGTTGATCAGAATTAAACAAGGAGTCAACTGACCAAAGGTCAAGGTCATCGGGTCAGGGGTCAAGGTCAAATTTTGTAGCTTTTCACTGGTGAACATTTTGCTATGACATTATGAAGCAAAGTTGTTCGGAATCAAACAAAGAGACACACTGAGGTAAAAAGTCGATGTAAAAGGTCAAGGTCATTATATTCAAAGGTCAAGGTCAAATTTGCATCTTTTCACTGATAAACATTTTGTTATGACATGATGAAGCAAAGTTGATCAGAATTAAACAAGGAGTCAACTGACCAACGTTCAAGGTCATGGGGTCAAAGGTCAAGGTTAAATTTTGTACCTTTTCCCTGATGAACATTTTGTTATGACATTATGAAGCAATGTTGTTCAGAACTTAACACAGAGTCAACTGACCTTAGGTCCAGGTTACGGGGTCCAAAGGGTCAAGGTCAAGTTTTGTATTTTTCACTGATGAACATTTTGTTATGATATCAAGAAGCAAAGTTGGTCGGAATTAAAGAATAAGTCAACTGACCAAAGTTCAGGGTCACTAGGTTAATGGTCAAGGTAATTTCATCTCTGACTTTGACCCTGGCCCTTGATGTAGGAGATATAGGTGAAATAAAACAAATCAAATCTAACAAATGAGTATTGCACCAGTATGTACATTTCTGTTAGCCCAGCAAATATGGAGGTGGAAGGAAACAAGACTCACATTATAGTACATGTCAAATGTATATTTTGCTTCCTTGCGATTCTTTTTGAAGTCCAAATGTCAAATGTCAAGGTCAGCTATATGAACCAATTGCTTCTTGATGATTATGGGGGATATATTGCCACAAGACGGGGCCCCTTACTGACCTGTCAGTGTTCTAGTTATGTTTATATATATATATTGATTGCATAAATATGTTTATTTTTTCTAACACCTGTATTTTACTAGCAAGATTATTATGTTTATATATATATACTGATTCATAAATATGTTTATTTTATCTAACACCTGTATTTTACTAGCAAGATAATCATCTTTATATATATATCGATTGCGCAAATATGTTTATTTTATCTAACACCTGTATTTTACTAACAAGAGGACCATGCGGAAGATTAGCCTTTGGCTAAATATGTATTTTATATTCAATAAATATAGTTTCTTATATTTATTATCATTATTATTATGACTTGTCGGGACAAAACGTTTCAGATTTTTTTCAACAAAGGGCCATAACTTTGTAACAAAAAAAGGTCAGAATGAAAAATCAATACCTGGATGCAAAACTTCAGGTGGTAGTTATCATATCTGTAAACTTTCATTGAAATCAGCTCAACTGTTTTTGAGGCAGACAAAGGTTGTTTTTTTCAATAAAGGACCATGACACCTTTTTAAAGGGTCGGAAGGAGAACATACTACTTGGATGTACAATGTCAGAGGGCAGTTATCATATCTGGAAACGAAACACCCGTTGAAATTAGCCCAGTAGTTTTGGAGGAATTGTCTGTACAAGTATTTTTCAACAAACGGCAATAACTTCGTAAA